GCCAAGAAGAAAGGAACAACACCAAATGCTGAGGCTATCAAGGCTATCAAGGAGGATCCTGCACTTCTTGTTCGGACTCTGAGATTGTTGATTTGTATCCGTCTACTAAATTATATGTTGTTATCCATAATTATGTACTGTGTGTGTTAAAATAACTTTTTCGGCAATGAGTTTGTGAAAGGTTTGTCTAAGAATGTCATCTATGTAATTGTTAAGTATTGTACTTGTAGCTTTATTTTATGTACTGTGTTATATTAAATGTTTCCACAAATTATTTTTGTGGAATACTTATGTTTGAACTAGCTACGTTGTTCTGAAGTGTTGTAAGTGTTATAGCCATACCTTTATTTTGTTTCCCTGTTCGTAGTAGTAATTAGCAAATTAGATACTTTGTATATGCTATGTGAAGTTTTATTTAAATATTTCTTGACAACAAATATTTAAGGGAACAAACAAGATCTCTGAACTCATTCATCTGTTCAATAGTGATAACCAAAAAAGTGATTACCCTCATCTGCTGTGCACTCTCTTCGTCTCTCTTCCTCTCTCTTTGGCTTCATCTGTGTGTGTTGGACTGGGGAGCAGGGCAAAAACGTGTATTCAACCAAAACCAACATTGACAAACCAAAAAAACAAACATTTTTTTAAAAACAGCTTTGCTAAAGCCGTATTGTAAAATAGTTTTCCTATAACCGTTTTATGTTTGAAATATATTTTTAATATAAATATTTATCTTCAAAATTAAGAATTTAAAAACAAAAAATATTTGGCACAAAACAGGTTTAGCAAAACCGTTTTAAATTAATGAGAAATAATTACAAATTAAGTAAAAACGGCTTTTCAAAAGCCGGTTTTATGCAAAGAAAAATTTAATCTTTTTTTATTCAACAAAAAGGGCACTGGAAAAGCCGTTTCACCCAATAATGAGAATAAAGATAAACACCACTCTAGAGTGGGAAAAAAGTTTTGAAAATGGCATAGTCATGGAAATTCGCTAGGCCAGTTCATGTGAAAAGCGTGGGCCATAATAATCAAATCACTCTGTTTGATTTGATTATTATGTATTATTATAAATTATTGTTACATATATTTGATATTGGTCTATAAAAAATAACAATCACTCTATTTGGTTTGATTATCTTTACAATGAGATTAATAATTTTAAAAAAAGAACATATTTAAAAAATATAACCAAACCAAATAGAGTAATTATTATTTATTATTATATATATATATATATATATATTTACTCATTTTAAAAATATGATTGATATCTTTTTATTGGTATTAATTTTATAAAAATAAAATTTATATATATTAAAAATTATATATGTTTTATTAAAATAAATATAATGAATAAAATTAATTATTTTTATTTTTATTTATTTATTATAAGTGTGTGTGGATGTGTGTAAAAGAGAGATAGTGGAGTGATGTGGGTGTAAGTGTGTCAAAGAGAGAGAGAGAGAGAGAGAGAGAAGAGTATGTGTATGTGTGATGTGTGACGCCAAGCCTTACATTTTTTTTGGGCCACGGAGTCATTGCTATGACCCCTATTGTGTTTTTTATTGTGCTTAAAACGATACAGTTTTATCTTCTTTTTATTTTTTATTTTTTATGTTTTTAATATGTTTTTTTGGCATTATAAATTACACTTTGCCCTAAACCTTAAATCCTAAACCCTAAAATAAAAATAAATAAATTTTAAGAATTAAACCCTAAAATAATAAAAAAAAAAAATTATCCCTAAACCCTAAAATTAACAAAAAAGAATTAAATCCTAAATCCTAACTCTTAAAATAAAATAAAATAAAAAGATTTTTAGAATTAAAGTAAAAAAGTGATCATTTTATATAATTATTATTATTATTATTTTATTGAAAGCGTGTTTTCAAAACACAATGTTGCGCGTTTTTCAATTGCGTTTTATTAATTGATAGGATAATTAGTAAATATGCGATTTGTAACCGCGCGACCTTAATTAAAAATGTGTTTTGTAAACACGATTTCATGATTTTATTTATTTTGTCTGCCTGCACTACAAAAATATTAAAAGCGTGTTTTGTAAACACACTTCAGCTTAGTTTGGGAAATTTGGCCAAACTAGAAAATAAATTAGTATAGAGGCTTAGTTTGAGAAATAAATTAATATAGGGGCTTAGTTTGGGAGAAGCCTCCAAAATTAGATTCATATTTTGAGTACTTTTGTTTCTTATTTTATTAGTTTTAATCACTCTTATTCCCATAATTTTTTTAAGAGCCTGTAACATTTGAATCGTTCTTAACAATTTATATACATATTTTTTAATTGTATTGAGATGGGTGACGTGGTTTGAATTATATACATATTTTTTTTTTAATAAAATAAGAATAATGTACACCGTACCTTTGAATCCTTCTTAGCTAATCCTTCTTAGCTAATTACACCTTTTTCTTCTTCACAAATTAATTAAGGAAATATAAATTGCGTTTGGTTTATTAGTTGCTGATTCATACATTGTCCAAAAAAGGAGTTGAAGACGTCAAACTTGCATGTCATCTAAAGTGTGTGATCTTCTCATGAAATTGTCTATTAATTATAAGGATTTGTCGAGCACTGAAATGAGAATCCGGACTAACATGTCAATTTTAATCTAAATTAATTATTGATTACATAAATAAAAGTGGGATTTTAAGTCTCAATTTATTATAGCCATCTCCTCAATAATGTATGTATAAAGGTGGGACTCCATACCCACCTTTTTAATTTGAACTGATCATAATTTGTCAAGATAAAATCTGACACAATGATATAGATGACACAAAATTATAATTTTAAGATGTATTATATTGGTGTTTATGTTGGTAAGACCAAACTAATATAACCATTAGTTCTTAGGAAAATGTCTCGTAACTCAAATTTTGTGGCTTAAAAGTGGCTCAAATGGCTAAAACGACGTCGTTTTGACCATTTTAATGTTGTTCTGTACTCAAAACGACGTCGTTTTGGCCATTTGAGTCACTTTTGAGTCACAAAATTTGAGCTACGTAGCATTGTCGTAGTTCTTAATGTGTACTCGCAACAGTGGTATTAACAATGTAAGAGTGTTTGATGACTAAGGTCTTTTGGGAACAATGGTAAAAAGTTTAGTTTTTTGGTTTTTTTAACCAAAAAAGTCAGTTTTTTTTTTTACCTAAAATAACCCAATTTTTTGCTAAAAAAGCTAGCAAAAAAGTCAAAAAGTCAGAAAATCAGCTTTTTATCAACTTCTCAAAACACCACTAAATTAAAGTGATGATTTCTAACCAATCATATGTAGCTTGAAATTTTAAGTAGTAGGTAATTAATGAGTGTAATTGCAGTCCACCATGATTAAAAAGCTATTATAGGAAAGTGCTTTGTAGATCACAATAATAATAAACCATATTCAACTTTGATATCAATCTTATTAGTAGCAAGACACATATATTCAAATCCAAGACAAAGTCAAACAGCTGTTAAAATTGGATTTTAAACAACAACTTGAAGGAGTGGTTGGTGTTGGTGACTTCCATGCAATGCAACCAATTATCAAGTGTAGAGACAATGACTTCATTGCCATGGTCAATGCCATTTTTCTTTGCTATTCCTTATCATCATAGTAAAATATGGAAAAATTCTAAGGTGTGCAGCTAACTATGGTGTGCATTTTACCAAAAAATAAATAAATAAAATGAAAAGTCATCCTGTTATAACTAAATTCGGCCACCGACGGCTACAGATTTTTATTTTTATTATTTTTTCAAATCATATTGTCCAATTGTTGATTTGCGTGAAAATATCGAGATATAGAAATTTTAACTAGTGGAATTAAAAAATACTTTGTGAGAATGAAAGTCTCATTGACGTCAAAATGAGATTGGGGTTTGAAGAATTGAATGAGAAGCAAAATAAGTATCTTTTACAATACAATATACATATTAAAATTAATAAAAACATCAAATGATTGGGTTCAGTTTTTTTTGGATGTCATCACTGAACATATTGTTTCTTAACTAGGGGAGTTAAATATAAATATATATATTAGTAATCAATAAACTAATTTGAACCAATTCAACATTTAGAGGGCGGTTTAGTTCCGGTACTGAAAAATTAAAAACTGTTAATTACGGTTCGATTAACAAATTAAGGATCAAAAGAACCAAACAAAACTGAACTGAATCATTTGATGTTTTTAGTAATTTTAATATGTATATTGGTCATACAAGATGCTTATTTGTCTTCTCATTCAATTCTTCAAATCCCAATCTCATTTTGACATCAATGAGAATTTCATTCTCACAAAGTTTTTTTTTTTTTTTTATAAAAATGTTTGTAGTTTCTTTTTTTTACTATTTATACGATTTAATGTATTTTTATAGCAATTACTATATAATATGCATAATTTCTTTAGTTGTTACATATTTTAAAAAAGTTAATTTGAAGAATATTTTAAAATTTTTCAGTATGACTATGAAAATTTTAAAATACTTGTATAGGTAGAAAATTTTTTTTTTTAATTGAATTAGACAGCTTACCTATAGTGACAATTTTTTAAGCCCAAAACTGTAAAATGAAATCAAAACCAATCATTTTGTGTGATAACTAGATGATATTTAACTACATTAATCATATGTGAATGCAGTTAACTATAAAACTAAATCAACTCCAAGCCCTATCACATTTTGTCACATTTCAGACAACTGCTAGGCCCCACTACTAGTTTGATCAACAAATTATAAAATTTCCTATGTAACCAGATCAGACCTGGTCAATCTCCGCCCTTCAAAATTCCAACATTTTGCACATATTGAGTGACTTCTCAGCTAGAGTACAAAATGGTTTAGTGGGAACCCACCACAACCAGTCTTTGAATGAAAATGGGAGATTATTTTGTGTTTAAAAAATAAGAGATTTGTTAGAGGGAGGAAGTTTCCAACAACTATTAAAAAATTGCTCATACTGATTGAAGAGATCACTATATAAAGGGCATCCCTCCCCTTTCTGAAAACATCAAATAGTAGTAGTCTCTGGGTATTACAAACAAAACCTAAGAATTGCTTCTGGAAATGGCCTCTCCTTTTCCAATGGCACTGTGTGCCTTGGCAATCTGTTTGTTAGCTACACATGTAGCAGCTGACTACAAGCCTTACATTTATGCTTCTCCACCACCGCCGCCTTATTTATACATGTCCCCGCCGCCACCATCACCCTACTATTATAAGTCACCGCCACCGCCGTCGCCCCCACCTCCACCTCCTCCTTACTACTACAAATCACCACCTCCTCCATCTCCATCACCACCACCTCCATACTACTACAAATCCCCTCCTCCCCCTTCACCTTCTCCTCCACCTCCATACTATTATAAGTCCCCTCCACCTCCATCTCCCTCGCCGCCACCTCCTTATTACTATAAGTCACCACCCCCACCATCTCCATCACCTCCTCCTCCTTACTACTACAAATCACCTCCTCCACCTTCCCCATCACCACCACCTCCGTATGTCTACAAATCCCCACCACCACCATCCCCATTACCTCCACCACCTTATGTGTACAAGTCTCCACCACCTCCATCACCATCACCTCCCCCTCCATACATGTACAAATCACCACCACCACCTTCACCTTCACCACCTCCGTCGTACTACTACAAGTCCCCACCACCACCATCTCCATCACCCCCACCTGCTTACATCTACAAGTCTCCACCACCACCATCACCATCTCCTCCACCTCCCTACTATTACAAGTCCCCACCTCCACCATCACCTTCACCTCCACCACCGTATTACTACAAGTCTCCACCCCCACCATCTCCGTCACCTCCTCCACCATACTATTACAAGTCTCCTCCACCTCCGTCCCCATCACCACCACATCCCTACTACTACAAGTCACCACCTCCTCCACCTCCTATTGTTTACTAAAGAAGTCACTACAAGTGATCGACTCATGTACGAATAATGCGTCTATGTTTTGTAACTAATAAGTAGAAAAGTAATGATGCCTCTTATTCACTTATTCTCATCATCTTCTTATTTGTTCATTTATTTTTCAGGTCATAGGTTAATGGAAAATGTAATTGCTATAAGAAGGAAAAGGATACTATGCTGGGGTTCATTGAGCTTAACAATGACATGCGACAGGAGAATAAAGAGGGCTCAAACAATCCATATGTTTCAAATTTTTGCTTTTTTGAAAATTTCATGTTGCAATCATGTATTCAGATACACTTTATGTGTTTTCTTATATGTTCAATCAATGTATGTCTAGATGTTGATACACTTGAGATAATCACCCTTTTAATGATTCAATGGTAAAATCTTAATCTAATAATCTTTGATATGATGTTTATACATGCTTGTTTGTGATTTTTTTTATTTTTTTTGCCGTATCATTACAGCTTAAATCAGAACTCTAGTTTTAGAGTTTTTAATCACTACTCTTTAGACAATTCATGTTGTTTATTTTTTAAAAAAAAATTATGTATAAATTATTTATGTAAATATCAAATTGATCTGATAATCGTATAATCGTATATATAATTTTATCATTTTAAAAAAAATAATGGATGAGAAACATAATTTCAAAATTACATAATTTATTTTTAAATATTAAAATAATAAAATTTGGTAGCTAAGATTGTTTGTCAATACGATATTTTATATGAATAATTTATATATAGAGATCTAAAAGATGACTGAGTGAATTATAGAATGTGAATTGAAGAGAAATCAATCAAAATAATAATAATAATAATTATAAACGGTTGTTTAGTAATTTCAATTTAAAAGCACGCTTTCTTTTGAAACCAATTTTTTTTTAAAAGTGTGGTTTCCAACCAGGCTTTTTCCTGAAAGCGCGATTCTGAAACACGTTTTCACTAAAAATGAAAGCACTAATAGAAACAAAATTTTCTTAATTAAAAGCGTATTTTATAACCACGCTTTTATGATGAAGAAGATTCAAGAACAGATGTTTGTTTATTCAATAACAATCACAATCCATTCACATCTATCAAGATCACATGCAGTATTTATAAATTGATACACTCTACCTAACTATAGTTACAATTGATTATGGTTCTAACAACTTTACAACTGCTATAGTTAATACTAAACTAGTCTAACTAACTTTGACTAATCTAATTGACTTCAGATGAGTTGGTTTGGTCATGCTGGTACAACTGCTTCGGCAGCATCGGAGTCTGCTTACCATTCTGCAACTGAGGTTGCTTATCATTCCCCGTCAAGCTGATAGGTGGGCCAGAAACATGCTGAAAGTGTGCTTCAGCTTATTTTGGAAATTTCAGTCAAACTAAGCTTAATTTGGAAAATAGGTTAATAGGTTGGCTTATTTTGAAAAAAAATCCGCAATTCTCTCAACAAATATATATATATATATATATATATATATATAAACAAAACGTCCTCGTTGCAATGGTATGTCAAACTGAATGTAGAGACACTGTTGGTCAATTGTGATAGAGACCCATATATACATAACTTCTGCAATTTTCATTTTTATCCCAACCACTTATAATGTGAGATTTACACATATATAAATGGATTTTACACACACATCAAGAGTCAAAATCAAATTAAAAGTTATAAAACCCAAAAAAAAGGTCCCAAACATTTCTCCACTGTTGGTATTGATATCTATCTATCCTGATCTTCAGGGCACCAGAGCCTGCCTAATCCCTTGCTTGGTCCCCATCGTTGATAAAGAAAGGCCTGTTTGATAAGTTGATTATTTTAATTGATTTTTTAATTTTTTTAATTATTTTAATCTAGTAAAAAAAGAAAAATGCTTGGGAGCACTAATTAGTGCTCCCACTAATTAGGTGGCAGTGGGTCCCGCCATTAATGATGTGATGTTTTGGTCTTGGAGTTGTATTTTTTTTTTTTTTTACTTTTTTAATGCATTAGTGCTATTAGTGGTGATGTTTTTAGTGGGATGAATCATTGTTGGTAAAAAAATTGTGTTTAGGAATATATTGTTTTTTTAAGACAAATAGTAAAACAATTATAAATTAAATAATATTTTATTTTATTGATTATTTTTGTCTATTTTATCTTTATTAAGGCATTGTTTGGGAAATTGGCAATGACTTTTTGATTACTTTAACTTAGTGAAAAAATTGTGTTTGAGAAGTTGGTTTTTTTGTAATTGATTTGATAGTTATAAGAAAAAAAGTTAAATGATTATGGGTTAAATATAACATTTTATTAGTTATTTTAGTTTATTTTATTTATGGAAGACTTACGTGTATGTCTTAACAGGTAAATTTATTATCCAATATGTTCTGTGAGAATTAATAGCGTTTTTCATCAAACATTATTAAAAAATATCACTAATTGTTAATTTTCAACAATAATTTAAAAATTTTGTCATAAAAAAGTCACTAATTATACGTTTTAGTGAAAGTTTAAAGATGCGTCAAAAAAAAGTCACTAAGTCTTAACATTTAGCAAAAATTTAAAAAATTCGTTATAAAAAAAGTCACTAATTTTATGTTTTAGTGATAATTTATAAAAATCGTAACAAAAAAATTATTAATTGTCAATTTTTAACGACATGTGTAAAAAATTTTCAAATAAATTTATTTTTGACAATAATTTTGTTACGATTTATTTTTAATAAAATTTAATAAAAATTAAATTTAACTATTAAGATATTATTTATCTTTTTATTTTTTAAAATAAATTATTTTAGTCAAACCTTCTCCCCAAAGGAGGCGTTTCAGCCCAAATAACCCTTCCAAACAGAGCCAAAAGAAAGCGCTTTCTCTATCTTACTCTCTCTTTCAGCTTCTGAGTTTTACAGACACCATCAATTGACTCAAACATGGCCACCATTTCGCTACCAACGACACCAAGAATGTCATCATCACTCTCCCAAAGACAACATCTTTGCCCTTCTTCTTCATCATCATCATCATCATCATCATCATCGTCACAGTCATCCTTGCTTCTTCTTCGACCTCACACTCACACTTACACTTCTCTTCGCTGTTCCTCTTCCTCACTCTTCAATCCCTCTCTCCTCATTCCCACCAAATTCTCAAAACCCACCAAAATCCCCCCATTTTGGACCACCATTTCAATGTCCATGGAGGCTGGTATCGGTGTCATGGGTACTAAATTGGGTATGATGAGTTTCTTCGAACCCAATGGTACTGTTGTCCCCGTCACCGTTGTGGGTTTTAGAGTGGGCAACATTGTCACCCAAGTCAAGACTCAGGCCACCGACGGCTACGATTCCATTCAGGTCGGTTATCGGAGGGTTCGAGACCGAAAGCTCACCAAGCCCGAGATGGGTCACCTCCACAAGTCCGGGATTATCCCGTTGCGCCACTTGCAGGAGTTTCGGTTGCAATCGGTTGATGGGTTTGAGCCTAACCAACGGCTGGTTTTTGAGGAGCTCTTCAAAGAAGGGGATTTGGTTGATGTTTCTGGAACCACCATTGGCAAGGGTTTCCAAGGTCTGCTTCTCTTCCTTTCTAAGTTATTATTATCTCTGTTTGTGTATTGGTTCACTTGAATGAGTTGGAATGGAGTGGGATTATTCGTTACGCGCTCATACGGAATGATCATTCATGATCATTCCATTCTGTCTCATTCCAGTGAACCAACTATTTCCTTGGGGCAATTTTATTTCCACATATCAGATGCTCTGTGCACAGGCTTACTGAATTTTTGATTTTTGATTTTTTATTACAATTTTACCCTAAAATAAAATTATCAAAATTACCTTACCTTCTTCATCAAAAATCTTAATGCCTAACAAAGAAGGATGTCATTAATATATTGAGTAGAATGGGTACTCAAATTCTAGAGTTGTCAATGAATGTTGAGGATAAAAGTAATTCTGAGGATATCTCTGAAGGACAATTTTTTATTGAATATGTTGGGATATGCAAGCTTATAAGGCATACCAAAGAGAGTATGAGCAAAGGGTCATAAGCATTTTTACTTCATGATATTGAATGGCATCTAGCGAGGTAATAGATGCTTGTGCTGAAGAGAATTTGGGCTGTTTCATGAACCATAGTTGTGATAATTGCTGTAGAGAGGATATAGATGGATTGGTAATGGTGACCGGTGACAGTAGAAGGATAGGAGCCGCGACAGTGGTACAAGTTTTCGGCAGAGGAGCCTGGCCGGCGATGAATGAAGAAGATAAAGATTAGTGGTTAGGGTTAGGGTTTGAATGATGAATAAGATGAGGGTATTTTTGGTAGGGTAGGATTTGTATTAAGCAAAACATAAGATTTTATTATGTGTGTCATGAGAAAAGATATCCTCTAAGAGGATTTGATGTGTGGAAATAGAATTACCCGTGTATTTGGGGTTAACTTCGCTTTTATCCCTAAGACTATGCTTGGATATCTAGTCAAAAAATCAACTAAAATAGTCAATTCCCAAATGTGGCCTTGGTAGAGAAAAGAAAAAGATATGATTTGTGAAGTTAGGCGAGAAGAGAAAAGAAAAGAAATGATGTGATTTCTCTTCCTTGTTTGGTTAAGTTGAAAAAAAGAAAACAAAAAATAGTGATTTTTCTCTAATCTTATTTGGATAGATTGCATAAAAGCAAAGTTACCAAAATAACTTTTTATGTTTTTATTTCTTATGTAGGTAGATGGGCAATTTTAGTATTATACAAAATTAGTAATCTTTCCATTTCTTTTCTCTCCCAATCTCTCTAATTTTAGAGAGATTTGATTCGAAAAGTGAGTTATGAGAGAAATATTTCTCTCAATTCATTTCTCTCCTGTTTAGTAATCCAAACAAGTGATTAAGATTAAGAGAGATTGATTTCTTTCCTTTTTTTTCCAAATCACTCGATCCAAATGAGGTGTAAACTCGTACATTTAAAAAAAAAAATTCATCCTAAAGTTTCTCATTTCAGTTCATGTAGAGACCATGATGGGGCAAAAAGTTAATTTTATAATTTGGACTACTTAAATCATACAACCAAACACTTAATTTTTTCTTTATTTAACAAACTATATCGACCCACAACTAATTTAATGAGTGTTTTGTTGAAGTAGTTAAGCTGTTCAACTTCTGAAATTACTTTTTTAATCAACTTAGGCTTCAATATAATCATCTCCAGTTGATCAAATGAAATGAAATAAAATAAAAACTGTAGAGGCTAAATAGATAAAATTAGTAGTTTAGGGATGAAATGGAAAAAAATGGTGATAATTTAGGGGATACAAGTGAAATTAGCCCCATATATTTATATTTTTGTAAATAATTATGTGTTTCTATGTGAAATCAGTCCCTTTACCGAATTAATGGTAAACTAACAACTGAACTTTGGCATTGCCTGATTATTATATCAAATTCATATTATGTTGCTCTGTTTTGATTGTGTTCAGGCTTTACTTTTTCACTATTGAGCTTAGATATAATGCTGGTGATATGATGCACATATTAATATTTGTATATACTCGCACACTGATCTGCTCCTGTGTAGTTTTGAACTTGTTATTCTTAGGCTCTTTTTCAGTTTATGGATGCATGGATAATGTATACATGTATGAAGTTATACCCTTCCCTTCCTTGCCTAGCTATTAGACAAATCTTGATTGACTGACACTAGAAACCGATTTGGAGAAAAAAGAAGCACGGCATGAGATAGGCAGTGGAAAAATTTCCGTTGGTAAATTACTTGACTTGATGGATGGAGGGAGAGCTCTCCAGCTCAAGCACGAAATCAATGTTGAGTCAACAAATATTGGGAGGGACTACCAAACAAGATCAAGATCAGCCCCGTACTGCTTTTTCCCATAGGAGTGGAATTGAGTCCTACCTCCACTCTATAACTACGTAGCTCGTGTTTCAGTAGCATAATAAGGTTAGAGGCGCAACTAGAAGTGTTGGCCTTATATTTATATTTCTCTTTTAATTTGATTGCAGTCTCCAAAGTCCTCCTTGATCAATGGTCACTAGCATTGGTGCTAATTAGCAGTTATTTTTTTTGGAAAGCGTGGTACTCATATGTGATCATGGATTCCACTGTAGTAGAAGTTCTAGCTCTACATTAGGAGCATGGGGTCTCTATCTATCTAAATGAGGAGGGTTGTCGGGTATTGGAGATTGGATGAATCCCATATATTTATTCCTCATATGAATTTGTCTGCAAACTTATCCTAAACAATATTCTAGTAGTTATAGTGTGTCAAACCTGGATATGGTCAACTACCAATGGAACTTTTTCACACTCATATGTTGGGGTGCGGGACGCGAGGGAGGAGGGGGGTGTTGGGGGGACAAAGCCTTGCAATCTTGTCATGTTGGAAGATAGATGTGATGCAAAATATAAGAAGCTCAGGAAGAGTAATTCAAAGAAGCGCAATATTTTGAAAATTGGTATGATTCACACAGAGAAACCTGTAGAGCCAATACATATCATATATCTAGTATTATTAGAGTTTTATTTTATTATTATTTTTATATTTTTCAAGATTTTTAGGTTAGGGGTATTTTGGTAATATTTATATTTGCTAACATGGTCTGTAGGGGTCGCCCATGGATTGTCTTATGGGTCAAGTTATTCAATTAATTTTTGTTTATATTTCTTATTTGGTCTTAAATTGGTTTTGGAAATTATTTTTGGTAGTTTCCTTTTTTGGTTCTAGTTGGAATAGGAAGTCTCTAGAGTCTATATAAATTTTGTTTTTATTGGCTATTTTAGCTAAAAAAGTCTCCCAACCCAAGTTCCCAAACACCCCCAAAGCCATGTAATACTTCTAAATAGACTTGATATTTTAGAGAATTTGAAGAGCTTTGAAGCTTTTGTATAGATTGTATTATGCAATCAAACCATAAGTGTGATGTCTAAGGGATTCTAGGAGTGTTTCCTAAATGTATCTTCTTTTCTTTCTTTCTTGAATTTCTGCAGCCTCATAACAGTCCCATAACATCCCCAAAATTCATATGTTTGATTGGTGAAACACTATTATTTTAGGTCACCTTTTGAAATTCTAAATTCCCGAGTTGTCCTGCATCAGTTTGGTATCAGAGTTTAAGGTTTCACCACTATGTTCTTACAAAGTGGGAGATCCTATATTCTACAATATGTGATACCTCATAAGAAAGAAGTTCCGGATTTTGAAGGACGGGATGATTCTACGGTGTTCTCTAATTGGCTTGCTTCAATTGAAGAATTCTTTGATTGTTATGACTAGGCGGATGATTGGAAAGCAAGATTTGCTAAGTTGAAGTTTGTAGGTTTGACACAATGTTGGTGGTATTGTGTTGAAGAAGATATAATAAGATTAGAATTGCCACCAATAAACACATGGCAAGAGATGAAAGCTAAGCTTCAAAGGAAGTATATGCCTTCAAATAATCGTGTAGAGTCACATGAGCAACTTGTTGATTCAAGACAAGGCAACATTTTGTTTGAAGAATATATGCGAAGACTTTAGGCACTTGACACTCAAAATCGAGTTGTAGAACACTCACGCCAAAGACTTGTTGGATTTAATCATGGTTTAAGGCCTATAATTAGGCAAGAAGTGCCACGCCAATCAAGATATAGCATGAAGCATGCACAAGATTCCTGCCAAAACCGAAACCTATTGGTGAATCAGAACTTTGCGCAATTGAAGTTACAAGTGAGAGAGAAAAATCTAAACCTGCACAAGATGAAGGATGACCAAATTATGAAGGTTGATAAGCCTCCAATCAAAACTGCATGTATCATCGTTGAAAAAGTTGAAAGTAAGGAATTGAGTGATATTTCTGCCAAGATAACTATACCATTTAACAGTTTCACTTCTGGTCCTACATCCAATATGCACTTGGAGGTAGCTAACTTGGTGCCGAAGTCCTCTGATGAACCATTGAAGGTAATGAATGTTGTTGAACATCAAAACTCTAAGCTGTTAAGAGATATAAGTGGAGGAACAGAATGTTAAGGAGGGTGAAAAAGCTCTTCTTAGCAGTTCAAGAGCACCCCAAGTCGATCTAATTATTACTCAAGAAGAGGATGTGGTCCAAATAGAAGATTTGGATGTCATACAAGCTGTAGCGACTAAAGAAAAAAACCAGCCTGCTGCTGGTCCAGAACTTATTATGCCTTTAGAGTTCATGATATTGCAATCCGAGGTCTCTGGTGTAGTGCCCACAAAGTCACCTAGTGAATTTGCTTCAGTCATAATCTATGAAGTGGCCAAAAGTGAATCAAAAGATAATCTTGTGTTGGGAAAAGAGGTTAAAGAGAAGGTATTGAGATTGTTAATGGGAATATCAAAGAAACTTTATAAAAGCTTATATAGATCAATTCAAGGATGTGTCCTATGCCAATTGACTTTGTTATTCCATACAAATTTAGTGGCATGATTGAAAAGATTAATCCCTCCATATTTTTGTTCTTATTTTCAACGAAGAAAAGGCGGCGACAACTTGAAAATTTTAATATGAAGCCATGGATGCAATTTCAAAACTTGTGGATTCTTATACTTCAACAATTAAAAACTCAAGGTTGAGTTTTTTTGACCAAGAATGATAAGAAACAATAGTATTTGAAAATTGGCATGATTTCAAAGAGAAACCGATAGGAACCATACATGATGATGTATCTAGTATTATTAGAATTTTATTTTATGATTGTTTTTATATTTTCTAGAATTTTTAGGTCAGGAGTATTTTGGTAATTTTCATATTTGTTGACATGGGCTATAAGGGTTGCCCATGGGTTGTTTTGTGGGTTAAATTATTTAATTAATTTTTGTTTATGTTTCTTATTTGGGCTTAAATTAGTTTTGGAAGTTAAAAGTATTTTTAATAGTTTTCCTTTTTGATTCTAGTTGGAATAGGAAGTTTCTAGAGTCTATATAAAGCAATGTAATACTTCTAATTCAATAGAGTCGATATTTTAGAGAATTTGAAGAGCTTTGTAGCTTTCTTATAGATTGTGTGATACAATCAAACCATAGGTGTGATGCGTAAGGGATTCTAGGAGTGATTCCTAGATGTATCTTCTTTTCTTTTGTTTCTTTCTTGAATTTCTGCAGCCTCATAATGGTCCCATAACAGCCCCAAAATTAATATATTTGATTGGTAAAACACTATCCTTTTAGTGCACCTTTTGACACCCTAAATTTCCATGTTGTCCTACATCAAGATGCCTTCCAGATGATGCATCAGCTATTTAATAGGTTAATTTTTGCAGTGTAGTTGGCATGGTCAATACAACTAATTTATTTAAATTACTTGTCAAGATTTTAGAGATTTGCAAGGAAAAATGCAACGAAAAAAAGATGACCAACTTGCATTGTTAATTGCTGTTGGAATGTTATTTAATCCTATTTTCTTTTTCTTTTTCTTTTTTTTTTTTGGGGGGGGAAGAAATCGCGTGAAGTTCAAAACTAAGAGTGAGGGAAAATCTGACAAGATTCAAATCTTGCTATGAGTATTTTCTTTTTCATGAGAGTGAAGGAACTGGCCTTGGATAGAGTCAACGGGAGAAGAAGGATTCATGTAGCTGACTCCATTTGATGGGACTTAAAACTTGGTTTGGTTTGTTAGTTTTGAACTTTGGCAAGCCTAAAATTATTTCAGACCACTTTTTAATTACTGGGATGAAGAGCAGACGGGAAGCATAACATATATACATCACAGAAGGGGAATTGGAATTGTATTTCAAACAATCGTTACAAGCAAAAGATCATATGTAAGACCTTTGTGGTCTCATCAGTACCCAAACACTGCATCTTCTGTAATCTTCTCTTTTCTGTCTACGTTACTACCCATCAATCATCATAGAACTATATTTGTGAACTTTACAGATCTACCAATGTTTTGTATCCTCAAGTACTGAATGTTTGATGTAAAGCTAGATAGATAGAAGAAATTGATTAAACCATGAAATGGATAGTTTAAGAATGAAATAGAAGAAATTGTGATAGTTTAGGGGATAAAAATGAAATTAACCCTTATATTTTTGTAGATATTTATGTGATTGTATGTGAAATTAGTCACCAATTTTTTTTTTTTTTCAGAATTAACAGTAAACTGACAACTGAACTTTAGCATTGCCTGATATCAAATTCATATTCTGTGGCTTTGTTTTGATTGTGTTCAGGCTTTACTTTTTCACCGTTGAGTTTACAATGTAATGTTGGTGATATGATTAACATGTTAAATATTTGTATATACTCACACACTGATCCGCTCGTGTAGCTTTCAACTTGTTATTCTTAGGGTCTGTTTCAGTTTATATATGTATATATAATGTATGTACGTATGAGTATATCCCTTTCCCTTCTTGACTAGCTGTTAGACAAATTTTGATTGACTGACACTAGAAACTGATTTGGAGAAAAAAGAAGCATGGCGTGATTGGTGGCGGTGGAAAAATTTTCAATAGCAAATAACTGACTTGATGGATGAAGGAAGAGCCCTCCAACCCAAGCACAAAATAACTTTGTGATTATCTGGCTGGGGAAGGGGTGCATTTAGCTTTTGCTATCTGATTATTAGCTTGCAACTTGAGAAAAGTACAACAAACAAGCTCATTGGCTTGTTGAATCATGTGAGAGGAAAGGCAGAGAGACTCAGAAATAACTTTGTTGTTAGTGCTCTCCAGATTACTTGTAAGATTGATCCTAAGTGAAGAACAACCTCTTTGTAGTGTAGAGAAGTAAAAGGGCCTCTGAAGAGGCATGCTTTAGTTCAATCAAACCAATGATTAAAATTCATGTCAAAAGAAAATTGAAGCAAGTCACATTGGCATGATAAACTTACACATCCAGAAGAGATGCTTTATTGTCTCACAGTGATGGCCACAGACTGGACAATCTGATATATTGGACTTAAATTAATTGAGTGAACCTGATTTATCATCTTCATTGGAAGGTAACACTTACCTAGAAACTCAAGTTATCAGTCTCTGATCCCTTGGTTCATCAAATTTGATATGTTAAGCATCACTAATGTTTGCCTAGACAATTATTCTAGGTCACTAAACCAAGATAATATGAACTTGATCCCCTCTTCTACAGCCCTGCTTACATGAATATGGTATAGATGACCTATACTCAGTGATTGATACGGTTTCTTTCTTCATCAAAACTTCCCCTGTGCACCAAAACTCTCTCCTTGGACCTTGTTGGGACATATGGAAATTAGGGTGCATTTAGGCTGTGCCTAAAAGTCAAGTAACCGTATCATTTCCTTATTGTTTATTTATTCATTATCTCATATGAGGGCCTAAGTGAAAATGGCGAAGCTACCACACTCAAAAGTAGGGTTGGCAATTTGACCTGGACCTAATGGAGACCCCACCGCCCCGCTATTATTAGAATGAATTTCCCCAAAATTTCCCCCCATGGGTCGGATATAATATTTGTTGGTGAATCCTTGATTTTTTGGGGGGTTGGGTTGGTGAATACCTGATGGTGAATAACCAACCCGTCCCCTTGTCTCTAAGTCAAGGTAAAAACAAAAAGGTTCCCCTCAACTCGAATGCCATTACTGATGAAATTATGGTGAAGTAGCTAACCAACTATGCTATCACAAACTATTGATTCTTTATCCTAAAATAATTTTTATATATTATTGTTATCTTTATCCTTCACATGTATATATGGGATAAATTATCAATTAGTGCTTCTAAATTTAATTATATTTTCAATGTGATTATTAAACTCTTAATTCTTCGAAATTTTAAGTTGAAATCTCATACTTTTGATTTTTTATTTATTTATGCCTTTCAATTTTTATAATTCAGTCAGTGTAGTCCAATTTATAACTAAATATAGGAAAATAATAATAATTCTTTTATGTTATGCGCTTCCTAATTTACTAAATTTTAGAATTAAAAATATAAGAATAAAAAATCACGAACAATTTCATGTGAAATTTTTACCCATTTAGGGTAAATTGTTATTATTATTCCGATCTAACCACAAAATTCATGAACATAGCAGTAGATGTCGAAAAACAAATACAAAATATTTTTTTGTGTGTAAAATCAATTTATATGAAAAATATTCTATATCGAAACAAATAGAACCTAAATCAACTTATTCTTGGTGTAAAAGTAGAAAAATCATTGGATAGGATCTGCACAATTTTTAGTTAATTTTAATTAATATTTTCTTGGTGTGAGATTCTTTCAATAATTTGAAAGTTATTTCTTTCTTTTAATGGATTTTCTTTTCCCTCTTACTTTTCTTCTTCTTAATTTTGTTTGTTTGTTTGTTTGTTTTTGTTTTTGTTTTTGTTTTTATTAAACTGAAGCTGTACTCGATCTAAAAAAAAATTGAAGCAGTATAGTTTTTTTTTTGGAAATTATTATTTTTAGGTTGTGTTTGATTCATGAATTTGGGAAGGGATTTGAAAAGAAAAAAAAAAGTGTTAAAATCTGTCCAAATCTGTCCTCAAATCCATAAACCAAACACAATCTTAATCAATTTGCCCCTTTCATTCACTTTTTTCAATTCTTAATTTTTTGCTTTTGTTTTGTTTATATTATGGAGACATTTCTAAAGCGAAGCAATGAAGCAAAGCAAATGGGGCGGAGAAAACCGATCCCTATTAGGGGTAGGGTTGGTAGTATGAAATTGGTCTCCGTTGGGGATTGAGATTGGGGATGGGGATGGGGAAAAAATAAAAATCGGGGATTGGAGACGGGGAGGGTAAAACCTGCTCTACCCGCCCCATTGCCATCCCTATTGAAACAGACTTATGCCACCTGAAATGAAAATATATCAATTTTGTATGTGAAGTTCATATTTTTTGACTTTGTTTTGATGGTCATTCGTTTCGAAGCTTTTGCAATTGCGCTCATGAAATAATGCCGGTGATATGTGCATATGTACACACGTGATTTTATGTATAAAATGATATAAATAATATATACACATAAAATCATGTTCTTTGGCTCTATATCGTATATAAATTGTTTCAAACTGGAAATTAAATGTTTTACTATGGTGTATAAACTTGATAGAGGTGTACATATGCCTTTGTGTGTAGAGGTAAGTAGTGTGGCAAAACTTTTAGAGTATTGTTTGCTAGTATTCAATTGGTTTTACTGCTCATAATTTCAAAAGGCTAGTTATTGTCCCTTGACAAATGCATCTTCTTGCTAAAATGTATAATTGATTGTGGTTGTTCTGTGTTTGAAAATTTAATTCTATACTGTAATCTCCTTTTCCAAGAGTGTGGATTCTTAGTTTTCAGTTTATTTGATTTTCCTTTTAGGTGGCATCAAAAGACACCACTTTAAGCGAGGCCCTATGACTCATGGATCTAAGAGTCATAGAGCTATTGGATCCATTGGTGCCGGGACAACTCCTGGTCGTGTGTACAAGGGGAAAAAGATGCCAGGGCGAATGGGAGGAACCAAAAGAAAGATCAGAAAGCTTAGGATTGTGAAAATTGATAATGATCTTCGAATTGTGATGATCAAAGGCGCTGTCCCTGGTAAGCCAGGAAATCTACTCCGCATTGCACCGGCAAAGATTGTTGGGAAGAACATTCCTAAAAGTTAATTTTGTGGTGTATTTCTCCGTCTTTTGCACTATCAATGTTAAATGCATTTACTTTTTTGGTTAATTAGTATAGCTTTGTAGTTTCTAGATCTGCTTGTTGATTTTCTTCAGCTTGTTTTGTTTTGATCACCATAACTAACAACATTGTGCTGCCATTGCTTTAGAAGATTTGTCTGTAGTCAATGTCATGGTGTAATTATTCTAACATTTGTTGATTTTCTTCAGCTTGTTTTGTTTTGATCACGATAACTAACAACATTGTGCTGCAATTGCTTTAGAAGATTTGTCTGTAGTGAATGTCATGGTGTAATTATTCTAACATTAATGCATCAAATTCAGTAGGTTGGTCCTATTTATTATTTCGGTTGCTGTCAATTATCTAGGTGTATTTGTATGCATATCTGGTGTGCATGTGTATATTTGGAAGTTTCCGTAACTTTTGCAGGGCTTTAATATTTGTATATTTTCTTGAGCAGTTCTAATTAAATGATTCATGTTGATTATGTTATCAACTCTATTATGCGCACAATCTTAGTGAGTTGTCCCGCTTCAATATTCAACCGGCCTACCTTTTGGTTGATTCCTTAGGCAATCTTAGTTTGTTATGCTCTTTATATTTTACATCCATCTGAGAAAATATTCCTTATGCTTTACTATTCCCAATGCTTCTAGCAGCAGTAGGTACTGTGCGTGTGTGTTATTTTATATTATTCATTAAGGGTAGTTTAGGCTTTTAGGTTATTAGGGTTTTATTCTATTTAGACTATATATTTGTACTTAGATCCTTTGATTCATTAAATATACATACGAATTTGTCTTCTCTGTTATCATGGTATCAGAGCCATACAAACGGTTACTGACCTAGTTTTTGCACTTCGTCATCTGCATTCGCAGGCCATCATAGTTCTTTTGCATACCTACGGAGGTGCTCTCCTCATCACGTAGTGGTCTTTTATTTTGTTTTATTTTTCGTGTGTGGTAGACCTCTGTTTGTGGGTTCTTCTTTGAACCATTCGAGTGAAGCAGGTGCTTCAGTGTTCACCGTCGCCTCTCGGTTTCTCTCTTTTGCTCTGTTTCATCGCTACTTCTGTTTCGTTGCTCTGTTTGGTTTTTGCTACTGCTACTGCTATGTTGCTGCCTCTGTTTTCTTTGCAATCCTCAGAAATCGACTCTCTGTGGTTTGATTTTCTATGTGGGCTGCTTCGAACTCTTTGTGACTTGCAACCAGTTGACTTCATCTCCCTTTATGTTTGTGTTTTAGCAACAGTCGGAATCCTGTAACCATTTGACTTCAATTTTTTTTTTTTCGGTGAATATATCTGACTTCAATCTTGTCTGGTTCTAGAGTACGCATCTCTTCAGCTTTCATAGCCTTTGAAGCCTCTCAACGTCAGTTTGCATCTCTCTGTCTGCAATATGGTTGATGATAAACTGCAAGCTATCACCACCAAGTTGGATGATACTAATTGCTCTTATTAGTCCCACGTAATGAAGAACTTTATAATGGGTAAAGGCATGTGGAACTATATTATTGGTATGACTATTAGACCTACGGAATCCAAAGAAATTGATGCCGATGTTGCTAAATGGGATAAGGAAAATGCACAAATTCTTATTTCGTTTCATAATTCATTTCAAACTACTATTTGTATGAATTTTTCCAATTATTCTACTTCTAAACAAGTTTGGGACTATCTGAAAACTATGTACCTTGAGTCTAACTTTGCAAAACAGTATGAACTTGAGATGTTTATTCGTAGTGCTAGTAAGAAAGATAAGTCCATTCAGGAATTTTACAATGAGATAACTACTTATTGGGATTAGCTTGCTTTAATAGAACCATCAGATTTGTAGTTACTTGACAGTTATACCAAGTATCGGGAGAAATAACGTCTTGTTCAGTTTCTTATGGCCCTTCGTGATTAGTTTGAGCCACGTTGGGGAACTATTCTTCATCGGTCTCTTTGACCTTTTGTTGATGGTGCTGTCTGTGAGCTTATTACTAAAGAAACTCAATTCAAGGTGGCTCATTGTGCTCCTCCCTCCCAGTCAATTTTTGCCACTCTTTCGCTCTTGCCCACCCCACCATCTCCTTTATTTCAAGTGACCGATAAGCCCAAACTTCGGGTTTCCATGGATGAGTGCAGTTTCTGTCCACTGTTCTCTAAGCAGACATCTTTAGGATCTCGCTCATTTGCTGTCTTTTCTACACCAATTTTTGAGAATGGTCCGTCTCCCAATATGCAGTCTATGTTTGAGCAATTCAAGTCTTTCGTGGTAGCCAATCCAAATCTTTTGTCCCAGGCCTTCGCTATGACTATCACTTAGTTAGGTTTGTCTGGTTCATCCTTTTCAGGTAATATAAACACTTCATGGATTTTTTATTCTGATTGTTCCCATTATGTAACCCCTGTTGCATTTTTCCTTAGTAATTATGTCTCCTCCTCTTCTCCTATCACTATTGCTACCGTTAATAGTTCTTCTATGCCTGTACACTCAATTGGTTCTATTTCTTCTTCCCATTTGTCTCTTTCTCCTGTATTTTATGTGTCTCACCTCTCACTCAGTCTTACTTCTATTAGTCAATTATCTGATTCTGGTTTTGATGTTGTTTTCTCTTTTTCTCATTGTGTTGTGCAGGATCGAGTATCCAAGAGGCAAATTGGGATCAGACATAGGGTTGGAGAACTATATATCTTGGACAACTTGCATGTTCCTCTAGACATGTCTTCTACTACATTGTCTTCTTTTTGTTTAAACAAGTCTTCTTTATTTTATATTTGGCATTCTAGGTTAGGTCATCTGTCGACTGACCGTTTAAGGATGTTAGTTTGGTTTGGACATTTAGGCAATTTTCCCATTGATGATATTTCTGAGTGTCGTGGTTGTAAACTGGCTAAATATCTACTCTTCCCTTTAATAAAAGTAGTTCTATTTCATCTTATCATTTTTCAATTGGTGCATATTGATGTTTGGGTTCCTTCCCCTATGTTACTAAGGGTGGTTCGCAATATTATGTGTCTTTTGTGGATGATTACAGTCGGTTTACATGGGTTTATTTGATGACATAAAAATCTAATTTTTACCAAATATATTCCAATTTTCACTCCATGATTCATGCTCAGTTTTCCACCACCATTAAAGTTCTCTGTTCTTATTTAGGGGGTGCGTATTACTTGTCTGAGCTTGAGAAGTTTTTAGCTACTCATGGCACTATTCATCAATCTTCATGTTCTGACACTCTTGCCCAAAATGGTCGAGCTGAGCACAAAATCGCCATCTCTTTGCTACTCGTCTTTTGTCCCTTCTGTCTTTTGAGAAGCTGTGCTCACTGCTGCATATCTTCTCAATTAGATACCTACTCCTCTTCTCTTAGGCTTATCTCTGTATGAGCGTCTTCTTGGTGTTACTTCCAATTATTTTCTTCTTTCATGTTTTCGGTTCTGCATGCTTTGTGCTTCTTCCTAAACTGGAGCACTCTAAGCTTATTTCTCGTTGTGTCCTATGTGTATTTTTAGGGTATGGCATTAATCAGAAAAGTTATCGGCATTATGATCCTGCCACCAAAAAGTGATATGTGTCTGGGCATGTTACCTTTTTAGAAAAACTACCCTACTACACAATACCTTCCACCCCTGTCCCTATTACCAAGAATGAATTGGTTCATATTGATCCATTTTCGCCTGATGTTTCTCCTGATGAGTTTGTTTCTGATCTTGAGGTCTCTACCTTGCCTCTTACTAGCACTCTTGATATCTCGCCAGCTACTCCCTCCTATGCTTTTCCAACTCCCTCTTTAGCTCCCGCTTCCCCTATTCCTCTTCTTGTTTATCAGCGTCACAAAGCACTTTTGAGCTCGCCTGCCTCTAGCTCTATTGCCCCTCCAGCTGTTTCTTTGGATCTCGTTCCTCCTGCATATCATTGCTTTCCAAAGCAAGACTGTCATCCTCCGAACTGGCTTAGTTTTGGTAATACATGTTTCTCCCCTTCCTATCAGTCTTTTCTTTCTTATTTTCATACTTATTTTGAGCCCAGGTCTTACAAGGAAGCCTGTCATGATCCAAATTGGATTGTTACCATGAATGACGAGTTAACTGCTTTGGCAAACACTCAGCCTTGGGATTTGGTTCCAGTACTTGCTGGCAAGAATGTTGTGGGATATAAATGGGTCTATAAAGTCAAAACCATTTCTGATGGTTCTTTGGAACAGTACAAAGCTTGTTTGGTTGCCCAGGGCTTTTCTTAGGAGTATAGGATTGATTATGATGAGACTTTTGCCCCTGTTGCCAAGATGACTACTGCCCGCACTCTTATCTCTATTGTTACTGCCCATCAATGGCCTTTGTTTCAACTAGATGTCAGAAATGCTTTTCTGAATGGGCATCTTGTTGAAAAAGTATATATGTGCCCTCCACCTGGTCTCTCTCATCCTCTCGATGTTGTTTGTTGTCTTCATCATGCTCTATATGGTCTCAAGCAGTCTCCTTGTGCTTAGTATGAGCAATTTCACTTTGTTGCACTTCAGCTTGGTTTTCGCCCTATTCATCATGATTGTGCTCTCTTTGTTCGGCGCACTTCTATTAGCCTTGTTCTCCTTCTCTTATATGTGAATGATATGATCATCACTAGCTCTGATTTTAGTACTATTAAGGAGGTTAAACATCAGTTGTTTCGGGAGTTCGAGATAAAGGATTTGGGGTCTTTTCGGTATTTTCTTGGTATTAAGGTTACTACTTCTCTTACTGGGTATCTTCTCTCCTAGACTAAATATGCCCGTGATATTCTTTCTCGTGCCAATCTCACCGATGATAAAATTGTTGACACTCTTATTGAGTTGTATGCTAAGTTTTCTGTTTCTGATGGCGTTCCTCTTAAAGATCCTACTTTGTATCGAGAGTTAGTTGGGTGCCTTATTTATCTCACAGTTATTTTTCTGGACATTTCGTATGCTGTGCACATGCTTACTCGGTTTGTTTTTTCTCCTCATGCCATACATTGGGCTGCCTTACTCCGTACTCTGTGCTACTTTCATGGCACTCTGTTGCAATGTCTACTATTATCTGCCTCTTTGGACTCTACTCTTCATGCCTATGTTAATGCTGATTGAGCAGGTGACATCTCTGATTGCAAATCCATTTCTGGTCTTTGTGTTTTTCTAGGAGATTCTCTCATCTCTTGGAAGAGTAAGAAACAGTCTGTTGTTGCTCGTTCCACTACTGATGCTGCGTATCGTGCCGTAGCTCATGCTCTTCTGAGATAGTTTGGCTTTGGTGGCCTCTTTTTGATATGGGTGTCTCTCTTTCTGATCCAACTCCGTTGTATTGTGACAATCAGAGTGCTGTCCAAATTGCCCATAATT